CTGGCTGGGGAATTCTGGGAGTTGAAGTCCACACGTCTTAAAGTTGCCAAGGTTGAGAAACACTGACCTATAATATTGAGAAGTGATTTTGAGCCCTCTAAATTACAGAATTAGGCATCATGAGCAGAGTTTCAATGCTATTTAAAAAGTCAAGCAGCAAGAAGCTTGGAAGAGGTCTCAGGGGCAGGTAGGCCTTCTGCACGCTTCATGCTTGCTGTCCTCTGTTTCTAGGAAAAGGCAAGCTAAATTATGCAAAGTAAATTAGGCAATAAATATTGTTTATTGTATTTCTTAATTTGGCAATCATTTGGCTGCAGCAGAAATCTCTCAGCTGTATCCAGAATGCCATTGTATATCCCACTACTGTGGCTAGTTAGGCTGTAAGAAAATGAAGGGAAAAGAATTACAAAGAAAAACAGATCTTTCCCATCAATGGTCCTGTACCTCTGATTTTTTTTTTTTTAATTTAATCAGCCATTCGCGCTTGGATCCCTCAGACTTCAGCCCAAATCTCCGTTCAGCAGGGAGGAATCAGGTTAGGAAAAGTCGCTGCATTGCAAACGTTTCCTCTGGTTTTTTTTAAAGATCCCACTTTCTTTTGCTATAACTTCAAAGGTTTTCTGCTTTTCCATGATCTTAACTTGGCTTCCTACGAAAGTAGAAGCAAAGGAATGAAATGGTGTCTCTTTAAGCAGGGAACATGATAAAATATTTATGTCCATTGGAACAGGGAACTGCTTGTGCTTTCAAAGCAGGGAAATAAAACATACCCGGTAAGATGAGATGTTCTTCGGTGTCCCATTTAACAGCTGGACAAATAGATTATAAAGGTGCCCAGCAAGCAAGGCATAGCATATGACAGATGGTTATGACAATCACACCCAATCCTGTCCCTACATCTTGCCAACTTTTTTTTTTTTTTGCTAGCCCAGCTGTTCTGTCTTTAGCAGCAGCAACCCATTTCATTCACAATTTCAATAGTGAAGCTTTTCCTAGCATGCCCATGAATGCATCAAGTTTTCATCTGCTGAAATTCTAGCCATCAGGCTAATTTCAACAGAGCAGAGCCAGTTTCAATTGCTCCCTCTAACATGTTCCGTATCTGAGATTTATAGCTATTCATTGCACGGGTTGATGGACAACACCATGCCTGTAGTGTAATAAAGGAACACCGAAGACAACTCAGTCTGATTGTGTGAGGAAATGAAGCTGGGATTGTCGTCTGTGCTTGGGAAAAGCAGCTGCAGCCAGGCAGAAATGCTTCCCACCCCACTTCCCCAAGGCTCAGTACAGCTCATGTTTTTCCTCAAAGGGTTGTAAAAGTTTATAGCCCCAGAAACCTGAGAAATGGGTTCATGCAATCATTCACTCACGAGCTTCCCTAATTGAGCCACACCCTGGCATTTTCAAGGCCCCTCCGACATCCAGAGGCAGCCTTACCCCACCCAGGCTCTTCGCTTACACAAGCAAATGCTAAGACAGAGTATGTGGGGGTGTGTAGGAGAAAAGGAGATAGGAAAATGAAGATTGACAACTATTACAGGCAGGAAAGAGGACTATCAGTCAACTGCCAGGACTATGAGCCACGGTAAGCAGCATATCCTGGTGGGATTCCTGCCTGGAGCTTGGCTTGGGAGCTCAGCTGGAGTGCTCAGAAGCAACCCTGCTTAAGAGCAGAGCTTGGCGGCAACTAGAACAACCACACTGAGGCTGGACCTCATCCCAACTAGTGCAAGAACTTTTGGGAAAAGACAAAGGTTGTAGGCTACTTTATAGCTGTTGAGACTTTTGTCTCAACTGAGTATAAAGGACTGAATATTAAAGACATATTTATGTGGCAACAGCAACGTAAGTCCTAGATGGGTGGAGTTGACCCAGAGCAATAGCCTGTTGTTGGGGAAGGTGTGTGCTGCAATAAAGCACTGTGTACAGATTTGCTACACTGTGGTGTGTCCAGTCCTTGGAAAAGAAAGAACCCTCACAGATTGCTTCTATTCTCTTTTCCATGGGTAATCTATAGCAATATTTCTCAATCTTGGCAATTTCTACATGTGCACAAATTCTTCAGCCAAAAGAGCCATTGCTAGAACCCTGATTTACAGGATTCTCGTTCTGGGCCTCCCTAACTCCAAGCATGACGTTCCTGTGGCATATACTCTGTGATAGCTTAGCAAAACAAGAAGCAAAGATTCCAGTTTAAAAGTTTGTTCAGTGTACAAATCCCATATACAACACAAAGGACACCAAGAGGATCAAACTTAGCATCTAATTACAGAGAATCATTTGCTCAATAAACAGCTTAATACCTTCCAATTCTTACCTTTCATTCTATAAAATAAGTTATTTAAATATAGAAAGACCCAGCCCCTACAGACAAGACAAATATGAGGTAGGAAAAAAGGATTAAGTCATTGAATGAAGGTTTTCCTCCCATATTGAACAAGGTGATGGTCTGTGGATTCTTTAATTGAATCCATCCATCCAACCTATTCTTAGCATTCTTGCTTTTTAGTTTTTTAAAGATCCCAACAATCACTCTCTAAAATAGGTTAGAACTATGCAGCAAAACATCAGAAGATGACTATTCAAATGTCTAAAAAGCAAGCAAGAAAGCAATTTGTTAAAGATAGTACCTAGCATAAATTATAAAGTACTATTCAGCCAAAGATGACTGGAAACCGAAACATATACCTAGTCAATCCAACTCTTCTTCCAAAGCAAAAAGGGACCCTACAGCCAAAATCATCTATTTGAAAGACCAATAAAATTCAGTCTATGTAAGAAGAATCAGATGCTACTAATAGGCAACTAATTGAGTCTAACTGGAATTTAGCAAAGATGTCAGGGCCAACAGTACTAAACCAGCCCACGTACCCAATGTCCATTATTTCCTCAGTGATCTGGAAGGAGGCTTTTATTAGAGTCCTTCCCCCATGACTACCTCAAATATAACAACAGAACCACCACTTCTGCTACTAGGGAAGGGTGGTGGTGGAAAATATTGACTGTATCATAAAATTCCTAACAAACAACAGCTGAAAGGACTAAGCAAGGGAGAACAGGTGGAGAACCTGAGGCCACCAGGTGAGTATTCCTAGCCTATGATTAAAGCTGCAAAGAGCCCTACAAGCTTGGGTTTCAACTGAAGAAACAGACTAGGTTCTCAGAAATTTATATGTGCTCTTGATGATGGTTAGATCATGGTATCCATCATTAAGGGCATAAGGCACTGGAGTGATCATCACTCCTTACTATTTTTTCTTGTCTTTTTTCAATATTATCCTATTATCACTCCAGTAGAGATTCATAAATACAGGCTTAGGTAGTATTGGAAACCTAGATACTCCATAGTGTAACAGAACACAAATTCCAGTGTATGAAAACGACCACTACCCAAGAAGTAATACAGATCAAATTATCAAGATGGCAGATAGGGCCCATTGTAATTACAGATAACAGAAACAATGCAGACTAAGTCAACAGAAAAAATTCTGCAAACTTCAGGGGCTGAGATATGAGGTTAATTGCACTGTTTTCAGATGAGATCTTACAACACTGGATCTTTCCTCATAACCAAAGAATAACTGATACTAATTGTGACTCAGCTGGGATAAGCTAAGACCTTTTTCTCAAAATGGAGTTAGAGTTACAAAGCTAGGAGAAAAAAACAATTCTCTCTATTGTTTAGTAAAGAAAAAGTGAGGATTTTAAAAACTGTATTACTTTTGAAGTAATGGAAGAAAAAGCTGTCCCCTACAACTTGTCCTCCTTCTGCCAAGTCAAAAACTGAACACACATGTTGACCATAATTTAACTGAATCATCATATGGAGAGCACGTGCATGTCTGTACATGCATAAGGTAAGGAAGAGGAATTATGTCACAGGACAACAAAAATGCCTTTAGGGATTTTTGGAACTGGAAGATCTGTCACCTACAGGATGTTATGAAGGTTCAAGCAGTGTGAAAATTTCACATTGGTCCCCAGAGAATAAAGTGCTTTTCCCATCCACCCATCCAAATTCCCAGCCAACAGATATGATTTAGTCTCTCAAAAGAACTGTATGCTGGGTTGTTTAGATACAGGTGGGGTAGAAGATAATGAAGCAGGCTATCCTTTATACAGAACTCACAGAAAGCGTGGTTGGGCAATCTATTGTGAATAGGAAAAATGGTATCTTCTTTAAGATCCATTCAAAAACAATTATTAACAGGATAAAAATAAATAACACTTTCTGTAGAGTGCTCCCTTAAATAAAAGGCAATACTTCACAATATGAGTTGTGGCAAGTTCCACCAGTTCATCCTGTAGTCTTTAACCGTTGTTGCCATCCACTCACGTGTGAATTCTGCATCTCTCCCCCTTCCAGCACCCACCACTTCTAAGTACAACAAGGGTTATCAATGACCAGCATGACATCAATGCCATAGACTTCCAAGAGGTCCATGAGGAAGCTACGGTCACCTTGAGGGTCCAAGCCCATTCCACGGGCATGGTCAGCTGTTAATGTCTTGTCCTGGCTGGCTGATACCTCCATCAATGTCTGAAATATCCGGTTGTTCTGCTCCATGAAGAACCTTAGAGATAATGTGAAATGGAGATGTGAAGATGTGCAAGGCCCAAAGGCATTCTGCTCTCCAAATCTTCTGTTACCTCAATTAAAAATATTTTGGAAAGATTCAGCTGCCCAGGAGTTAAGTTGGCAATGACTTAAAGCTGACCACAAGCCACCTGTCCTGTATAGGAAATACTACTCCTCAACAAGTTTCTACAAAATACTTTACTGAAGTTCCACATTTTCTTACCTTACAAGGTGCTTCTTCAAGAATTCTAATTCAAACATTGGACATCCTATCTAAATCAATTAATTATTGTCTAGACAGATCTCTCTTTGCTTCTCTGGAGGCTTTTTGATGATGCCCTTCATTTCTTTTTGCATCTACAGCCTCCCATTACATCAGAGGTAGGGCTATCTACTGGCCATGGTCAGCATAACCAGCATAACTCAGGCATGTTCTTTTGCTGTACACCAGGCTCTCTGTCCCACCTCACCTTTTAAAATGGTTTTTTGATTTAAAGCATTAGGCAAATAAAAGTTGGCATGTTGCAAAGTAAAACACTAGCTCCTAGCATCATATACATTTGCAGAAATGGGCCCTAAATAGGTCATACTGGGATAGTAGAGACCATCCTGAGGAGCAAATTTACCTTCTGATACGTGCTACTCCCTGTGGCAGCCATTTTGTGAGTGCACCCACCACAAAGTCTCAAAATTCAAAACTACTCTTAACCCAGTTGTGCCATTTACCATTCAGGTTAATATTAACATGTCGCTACTTTTCCAGGTTTGTGAGCTACTATGGAGAGACTGTCAACCTAACTTTTAACCATGCAGCCACTGACTTTGGCTAACAAACACTCTAAAGAGTTTTCTCTTGCAATACTTCTTGATATTTATTTCCTTGCAGATGATGAAGTCATAACATTTCAAACTCAGGGTGTGTTTTCAGCTTAGGTTTAGTTCAATTTCCACTGCCCCACCAATAGCATAAATATAGCTATTGCTACAACCTGATTACAGAACTTGGAATATAGCTTTCAAGGCTCAGATGCTAAGATGACCATCAGAGTGGTAGATCTTTACATTTGTCCCACTCTGGCATGTGGCCCCATGAAATGTGGTTTCTCTAATGGCTACTGTGGCTTGCAGAAGTCCATAAGAAAACTACATTTCTCAGGGGCAGCTGCCCCACACTGTGCAGGTATGTATGGGGGGAACTTCCACCTAATCCCATCATCATTAAATATCCAACTGCATTCAGATAATGAGACAGGAGGAGGCTTACAGAGGATGAGAAAGGGGGATCAGGGGAAATAATCAAGGTCTAAATAATCACAATCTAAATCCACAGAACGGCTTGAAAATATCACAAACAGCTCATCGTTAGCTTCAAGCAGTGCTCTGAAGAATCCCATCCAAACAACTTACAAGATGAAGAGGTCCTCTTCACAAGAACTGCAGTCACCATCTACTTCCTGGGAGTACATCAGCATCTGTCTGAACGAGGGAAACATACATACTCATCACATCAGGATTGCTGGATCCACAGCTGGTGCCCTATAGCAAGCCAAACAAAATATCCACAATACTTCCCGGACATGCTATCCCCGGTATCACTGCAACACCGAAGTGAACATTTGGTTAGAGCCTGCAGTCAGGGAAAGCTAGGTTTAGACAACAGACTTTTCTTAATGTTTTGAAAATGTTGTGGCATTTTCAAAAAGGATTTTCATATTCAAACTTAATGAGCGGAGCCTTCCCTGCATAAACATGCTGGAAAGAAATGACCAGAAATCTGGAACAATTCAGAACTAAAGTAAAGGGTTACATTCAAGCTCCGTGTAAAACTTGGGGAGAAGCACCTAACCAATTTCTGGCGCTACCTCTGATCATTAAGTCTCTGGTACTTCTCCTTATCTGCGCTGTTAATCTTCAGGAGTGGTTGCAGATGCTCGTGGTGTGTCTTTACATTCTGGTTATCCACGTAGACATCATAGAGATCCTGCTTCTCTTCAAAAATTTTCTCTGTTGTGCCTGGTGAAAAAAGCACAAGAGAATGGGCTGGATCCAAACTAAATGAGATGCCCTTGGGTTATTCTACAAACTCAGTGAGAGGTCAGCACCTTAAATACAGTGGTACCTCGGGTCACGAACGCTTCTGTTCACGACCAATTCGGGTCATGAACAGCACCGTTCGCAAAATTTTGCTTCCGTTCGCGAACTCCGCATCAGGTGACGAACAGGTTCCGCGGCCATTTTCCCTGCTGTGACATGTGTTCGTGGCTTCCTGTAGGGAGGGGGACTCTCCCTCCAAACAATAACCGCCTCCCCACCCACCTTCCTGTCCTCCACGCCTCAAGCAAGGTTAGCGTTCTCTCTCTTCATAGTGTACTGTACTTTGTGTCATATTTTTGTAGTTT